GGCTCGAACTCACAGAGACCTGTCCCCCTTCATTCAAGAGTCTTCCATACTTAGAGCTTACTGTACAGGCTACACACATATGACTATAAAGGCTTCTATTATGCTTTGAATTTAGACCCTAAGTGTCTAAAGAGAATAGTTGGTTTACTGACACTCTACAAGGCTTCCTACTAATGTGGCTTGCAGTAAGTCCCTTGCTCAAACCTTATCAAAACTCTCCATTCCACAACACCGTAACTTCAAATAAACACCACACACCGAACGCCCTTAACTCAGCTTGCGGGTACGAGGCCGGTTCGAAGCATATCACGGTAAAGCCGTATAAAAGAATCGGTTGACTTCAGCAAGCGCACAAACACTGTCAAAACTTCATAGCGGCACAGTGCAGAACCACCCCCAAAACACAGATAACACCATGACAAATCTAGGCTTTTCGGTTATACCGCAACTTTGAAAGCCTGATTCGCCTCCAGTGGCGTCGGTGTAGGCGACGACGTGGCGATGCCGGGCCTCCCTGCTTTGCACCTCGGGGTTTAGGGCTTAGGGGGTTTAGGGTTTATCGTAAGTTCGTTGATCAGAGTTTAGGGTTTGGGGGTTGGGGATTTCCTGGACTAAAGTTTGGGTTAGGGTTTACGGCTTGAGGCTTAGAAGGCTCTGCACCGCGGCCTGGTTCATGTCGAGGAACTCATGGCAAGCGACCCAAAACGCGTATGACATATCTTGACCCTGCAAACCTGTGATTTTTTGGGCCTCGTATTATTCATTATGATTCCTTTACATGGTTCCGTGAAAAGCATCTTCTATTTGGGGTTGACGTAGGGGCAGGGGTACATCCTAAATACCCTATAGAGATTCTGAGCCCTGCGGTCCCCAACCCACCATAGTTGCATGGATATGTAGGGAGGGGGGGGGGGGTCGAAAAATGGTTGAAAGGCTTTCTAGCTGTGCTTTATCCTGTCTAATGCATGCGCATAGGTATTTTCGGATAAATCGTAAACATTAGAACTACTTGGAATCATCTCCGAGGCCATTGTACTAAAGAAACTGTAACCCTGCGCGGAGTTTGAGTCTTCTGTGTTTGTTTGCACTGGTATGTCATGTAAGGGCCTCTAACCAATCCATGAAACCCTTTTTTACACAGGCATGAAACCCTAAACCCTAAATCCTTTTACCTAAACCCTAAATCCCGCAAGCCCTGAACCGAATTCCAACTTGCCAAGCGGCCGTGGCATCAATGAGTCGTCCGCTCTCCAGGAGCACAGTCCTCGGCTGCGATTTAGTCTCAGGTTTTGGGGTTTAGGGTTTACGCTCTCGCAACTCGGACGCCGCCAGACGAGGTCTCTGTCTCCAACTCGACTAAGCGACTCAACATCAAGTTGGCAATCACTTGGGTTTAGGGTATTAGGCTTCAGGCTTCAGGGTTTCGGTGCTCACACTCGGACAATCCAAGAGTTAAGTGTTTAGGGTCTTGGGATTCAGGGCTTAGGGTTTAGGGCTTGCATGCCTGTTCGATAGGACCACATTGCGCGTGAGTGAGTAAGAGAGCTTAGGGTTCAGGTCAGGGTTTACGGTAAGTTCCTGTGAAGGTTCGTTATACAGCACTATACGGGCTCGTCTTCAGGGTGCTGTATACCGGAAAAGGTGCGGTTCAAGGCTTACCTTAACCCCAACAAAACCTACCTCTTCAGGGATTTGTGTAAGGACATCATCAGAAAAGAACCCGACAAAAGGTAGGATTATGGGGTCTAACCTCAACCAGCCTCAGCTCAACACCTCCCGACAGTACTCATTGAAATATGTTTAGGCAATCCTCAGCCGGCTTGGCTGCTGGGAAAGTTCTCTCCCCTCCTAGTGCCGTCGAGCTTCAACTTCCTCCCACCTGCCGCAGCTTCGGGTAGGCGGCACGATGTTTTGATGCTCGAATTTTGTATGACCGGGCCGTGACCAGGTATTTGTGTAACTCTCTGGGTCTCTATCTTCTTGGAGATTGTGCCCGCAGGGCTCTTTGAAGTTTAACACGTACGAGGCACAATGCAGTTTCCGTCTTCGTGCGGGTCTGTAGAGTTTAAGGCGCGGGGCTCATTCCGGTGCTCCTTGTTTGGCGGCTTTGTGTCGAAGCCGGTTAATCCCCGTTGAAATTATGTGAAATTATGATATATATATATACATACATATGTATATATATATATATACATATGTATATATATATATATGTATATGTACATCCCCCAACTATTAGGGATACGGATAATGTGTGATAACATTATCCCAACAAGTGCCAAGTGTACTCATTCAACTACTAAGTGAACAAAGCACCTCAAGCGTCAATCTTTCACTGTGGACACCGTCATCACCACTCGGGACTACAAACCACACATAACGTAGCTTGTTGGGGCATGCTCTAGTGAACCACGAACGAATATTCTTGCCAGTTATTCAGGGCTCTAGAACTATATTGGATTAGTGCTTCTTCAGGCTGTCGACATCCGGGTCTGGAGGCCATGGCATCCCAAACTACAATGGAACCCTGACATGAATCTGCCAAACTTCGAAAGCCACCAAACCTCATCAAGCATGAGCTTTAAGCAGTAAGCCCCCAGGGTGCTGACAAGTGTTGGTGCACAGCGTGGGTTATTGTGAAGAAGCACAGAACGTAAACCGGGAAGACATGGGAGTTTCCGAAAATAGGGGACCCTAATATAGTACCCTAAATAGTAGGATCCTTATTATAAGGACCCCCAAATAAGGTACCCCTTGTTTTCAGAAACTCCCACATGGAAGGTCTTCGCACTTCTTGAGTCATCAGACATCCCCCCCCTGCCTTCGTAGCAAACGTTGCTCAGCTGAACGGCCTGACGATCAAGAACTCGTATGGTCTGACGCTTCTGACTAATATAGCTTCAGAAGGCCTGAAGTTGCGACACCTATCGGCTGGTATGACGGACAGTTCTACTGTAAACCCTTTCTTCTCGTTGAGCAGATGCTGCAGCGCACACTGCCACTAAACTTCTAAGCCGCATGGTGTCTGTTCGGGCATTGGCTTGACACCAAGCTTGGGTAGAACTAGTTCAGATTTCAGGTTTAGAGTGTAAAGTCCTAACTAGCTACCCTAAACCCTTACGGTTAAGGGTTGAGGTCTCGAGAACCTTGACTACGGAAGCAGAACTCCGTCCTGCGAAGGGCGCGGGTCGATGTCCAACTGCTCCCCGGAGTTGTCCACATTGACCTCTTCGGTTTCACGAGGTGGGGTTTACGGCTTCAGGGTTTAGGAAACCCACCACGGGCTCTAAACCCCTCAGTCGGACTCCGTCGGTGTAGGGCTCGAGGGTGCAGGGTTAGCGCTTGATGGCCTCGGGCTTGAGCTAGAGGCCTAGGATTTCGGTGCGGATGTGCTTAGCCTACGAGTTCGCGCACTATACATGCCTGAATAAACAGAGAAGGGCTTCACGGATTTCTATGCTATAACGATTAGAACTACCGTCAACCCCGAGGAAGCCATATACTGCTATAATATCACTATGATGGCGACCCCTATAAATATAAACACCCTAGGACTCCATCCGACGTGTTACACATGCAAAGCACCACAAACACTGCTACCGATGTCCGGGCACACCGCCTGCTGCAAGGCGTGGGAACCAACGCTGTCGGAGTTCGTGAGCAAAAACAGCAAATGAGCCGCAAGCTTTCTTCAGCTTGCATGTGTGACGAGTTACAAGCTTTCAGCACTTTCTGCACCGATGTTGGGGTCGCCATAATATATCCCTGAGCCCTAAACCCTGAACCCTAAACCCTGAGCCCTAAACCCTAAACCCTAAGCCCGGGTATAGTGCACAAGTTCACTAAGTCAGCAGCAGTGCACCAGCGTGCCTTCACAAGGCCAGACTCCATCATCTCTTCGGCTGCAACACACCTGGGTAGGGTTTGGGGCCTGGGGTCTAGGGCTCAAGGTTGAAGTTTATAGGGTTCAAAGTTTAGGGTGTAGGGTTCAAGGTTTACGGTTCAGAGTTTAGGGTTTAGGGCTTAAGGTTAAGGGTTTAAAGTTTTTTCTCACCCGCCCAGCTGGCCGAGTCGCCCCGCAGGGAGTTCGTTTAAGGGTTAGGGGATCATGGGACTCGGAAAATGAGGCGGCTGTACTTGAGTGCTCCGTGGGGAGACCCTTGCTCCACGTTCTGGCAAGGAACGAGCTTCTCCATAGTTGCGGTGTCTTCATAATCAGAACAGGATGTTGGCCTCCTTTATTATAGTATGACTATAAGGATTCATATAGGTAATTATCTAGGCGTCTATATTAACTTGGTTTCGGCTCTCACACTCGGACAATCCAGGCGAGGCGAATGATGAGTCAACGTCAAAGTGAAACAACTGCACATGCAAGTTCCGCAACAAGACGAGCCCTTAAGATAGGGAACCTGTAAGAG